GGCAGGACGTGGTGGATGGAGTTCCACCTGAATCAAACAGCCTCTCCATGGTGGAATTTGATGTCTGCTACTTCATTTCTAGGAAACAGAGGCTGATTGAGATGTGTGTTATTCTAGGAAGTCCTTTCTTCCCAGGCAATATCACATGTACAGTTGTGCTCAAACCTGACTTATTGCAAGGAAGGGATCAGGTCAGAAAATGACCTTGCAATGTCATCTGTCCCCCAGTTTCAGTTCAATAAGGACCAAAATGGACAGAGAAGGAATTTATTTTCCCCAAGCATAACCTATAGAACTATATTTTCTATATATTCTACCAGAAATGTTTATAATAATCATATTGCCAAAAATATTTACAATATTTTGAATGTCTGATGGAGCACCACAGATTATCTGTTATGTAGTGGAGCAGATGGACATGATGGTTAACAGATTAAATTAAAACAAAAACTTCTTTCTTTATACTTCTGTGATTGGGATTATGGAACCGTTCCCAAACTTACTGGATTCTAATACCTGTTCATTTAGGACAACAATAGTATCTGCCTCTCTTGAAATAACCTATGTAAAAGGTTTAGCAGAGAGCTTAGTAGTAGTTAGTGATCAATAATATCTTTACTGAAACCCAAAACTGTGATTCATTTTCAACTTAGAATTATTTTCTCAAGGGAGAGATGAACATTTGTTAATGTCTGTAGATGGTGATGCTGTTTTCAGATTAAAGGCCAGTATCATGTGCGCTCTGATGAGTCATTTACATTCTTCTAAGGGTGTCAGTTTAAGGCCAAGGTGTTTTGAAGTGAAATGTATCATGTATGCTCCCCCTTTTGTCACATTGGAAACATCTCCTTCTGGGTCTGTGCTTAGGCTGAACAATCTTTCTCTATCTTCTTCTTTTGATGGAAGATACAATTGTTTGCTTACTCTTTGTTTTCTTTTCCAAAATGCTGAGACAAACAGGTGACCCGTCTACCCATTGTGCTAACCTAATTGCAGGCACTTCCCGTTGTAACCTTCATTTAACTGCGTATCATTTCCCCATTTTAAAAATTTTCTTATTACTGATGTGCTGCCTTAGTATATGTGTATTGAAGCAATTTGTATTAATTATTAGGATGACTTATATAATATTAGTTTCAATTTTTTTTTTTTTTTTGAGACGAGTCTCCCTGTGTTGCCCAGGCTAGAATGCAGTGGCACGATCTTGGCTCACAGCAACCTCCGCCTCCTGAGTTCAAGCGATTCTCCTGCCTCAGCCTCCTTACAGGTGTGCACCACCATGCCCAGCTAATTTTTGTATTTTTAATAGAGACAAGGTTTCACCATAATGGCCAGGCTGGTCTTGAACTCCCGACCTCAAGTGATCCACCTGCCTCGGCCTCCCAAAGTGCTGGGATTGCAGGTGTGAACCACTGCTCCCAGCCACTGGTTTTTTGTTTTTTTTTTTTTTTTTTTGAGACGAAGTCTCGCGCTGTCGCCCAGGCTGGAGTGCAGTGGCCGGATCTCAGCTCACTGCAAGCTCCGCCTCCCGGGTTCACGCCATTCTCCTGCCTCAGCCTCCCAAGTAGCTGGGACTACAGGCGCCCGCCACTTCGCCTGGCTATTTTTTGTATTTTTTAGTAGAGACGGGGTTTCACTGTGTTAGCCAGGATGGTCTCGATCTCCTGACCTCGTGATCCGCCCATCTCGGCCTCCCAAAGTGCTCCAGCCACTGTTTTTAATTTTATATTAGCTTCATGAAAATACGTACATGAAGTATGTATAATAAATGGTTAAAAGGGACAGAGAAGTAGAACAATGTAAGACGTCACATAACTCTAACATTGGAAGTGGCATTGAAAATTGGCCTCACTGATGGAGCCCAAAGACCTGACTGGTTCAGTGATGTGGAGAACACAGATAATGCTTGAGGACGTGCGTGCTGCTCAGCAGGGAATGCAGCAGCCCAAGAACGCGAACCTCCTCTACATGAGCCACACACTACTGAGCATGGCTTGCAGCACCTGCAAAGCACCCGTGCACCTTGTGTAAGGCTTGTGGGACTTGGCAGGAAAGGTAGGAGCCTGGAGAGAGGGAGTGCTGTGGGCAGGAGATGCCCATGCTTAGCACAACAGGGGGAACAGGATATGGCCGGCAGGGCAAGAGTAGCTTGGAAGGCTCTGTGGGAGCCCACAAGCAGGTGTGGGTAGCAAAGATCTGCTGCTGGACAAGGTCAATGGCAGCTGAAAGAGCAAAGGAGGCCAGGAGGCAGGTGCTGGTGAGAAGGGTCCATAGCAGCCTGGAGGCCAAGGTTGCGCTCTCTAGGAACCGTGTACTGCTCTCTGTGACTGAGAGGACCTTCCAAAGAGGGGGAGAGTCTGCAGGGCCACATGAATGCTCAGCATGACCCAGGGCATCCTGCAGAGCAGGGATGCAGCCCGGAGGTCTGCTTGGCTGCTCAGGATGGTCTACAGCCTGTGTGGAGCCCAGTGATGCCTACAGCAGCCTGGAAAATAGGGACGCACTCTGCAAGGCCCACCTGATGCTCAGCCTTGTGCAGTCTTGCAATTCCTTAAGGGAAACATGAGATGCAGATTTGGGATGGCGTTACATGTTTTTTTGTAAATTTGGGAAACAAATTTATTTATTTATTTATTTATTTTTTTGAGACAGAGTCTGGCTCTGCCGCCCAGGCTGGAGTGCAGTGGCCAGATCTCAGCTCACTGCAAGCTCTGCCTCCCGGGTTCACGCCATTCTCCTGCCTCAGCCTCCCGAGTAGTTGGGACCACAGGCGCCCGCCACCGCGCCCGGCTAGTTTTTTTTTGTATTTTTTAGCAGAGACGGGGTTTCACCGTGTTAGCCAGGATGGTCTCGATCTCCTGACCTCGTGATCCGCCCATCTCGGCCTCCCAAAATGCTGGGATTACAGGCTTGAGCCACCGCGCCCGGCCGGGAAACAAATTTAAATAAGAATATCTGTGTAGGCCAACACAATGAATGCATGGGCCTGAACGAACATTTTTCTTACTCTCTGTCAGCCTCTGATAAGAGAGCACGCTCTTTTCTTAGGAAGTGCCAAGGGTAAAAGTGCAGATGTTGCCATGAATGAGTTCATAGTGACATGAGTGTTTCATACTCATCTGTATTGTCTTCTCACAGAATCTTTCTTACACCCTGGACAGTGGTAAGAGGTACAGAGTGGACTCTGCAGGCACAGCCTCGATCCCTCCCTGCCCCTTCCCTGTGGCCTCTCTGGGCCTCTGCCCCAGCTCCCCCTGCCCTCTCCGTAAGCTCTTGCTCCCTTGCTGTTTGTTCCCAGATCACACTGTCCCCTTTCTTGAAGCCCTCCATGGTGTGGTTTCCCATGGAATCCCCTGAGCTCCTGAGTGGTCTCCATCTTCCTTGCTGTCCCATTGGAGAGCACTCCATGCTCCCGAGATCTGGAGCCTGACCCTCCCCCTCCCCCTGCCTGGCCACTCTGTCACTGAGTCCTTTCCTGATTCCTCCTGTGACGTCCTCAGTCACATCCATCCCATTGATGTTCCCTGGGGCTATGTTGTTAAGTTACTTATCTACTCCTTTCTTGTTTGTATTCCTGCCCCCACCCTGGAGTATAGGTCTCAGGAGCAGGGGGACTTCACCTCTCTCTCATGCCTGCTGTGTTTCCAGTGCCTAGACAGTGCTGGGAAGGGCCAGCCTCCAGCAGGTGCTTCCCATCTATACCCTGGGTGCATTGCTCCCCTCTCCAGGGTGTGACCAGGGCCTCGTCTGAGCAAGCAGATGATTGCTAAGGATTGAGGCTTAAGGGAATTATGTTCTCCCTCTGATCTATGGGGCTGGAGTTAATAAAGCTTTTCCCGGTTGATTGCATCAAGGCCACTGGAATGTCTCATAGTTTGTTGCTAGGGATAAATGCTTGCTTTTACTTTTTATGTATAGAGAAAAAAATATTTTTCCTGAATCATAAGTTGCTCTTGGTTTTTGCTGTACACTCCGCTAAAACAAAAGATTGTCACTGTGAGGGGACGAATTGTGTCCCTCCAGAATTTGTGTGTTGAAGCCCCAACTCTCAGGACCTCAGGATGTGGCTGTATTTGGAGACAGTATCTTCAAAGAGATAATTAAGTTAAAATGAGGCTGTTAGGGTGGGCCCTAATCCAGCGTAATTGGTGTCTTTATAAAAAGAGGAGATTAGAACAGACACACACATACACACACACATAGAGGAAGACTATGTAAGGACACACGGAGAGGAAGGCCACCTACAAGCTAAGGAGAGAGGCCTCAGCAGAAACTAGCCCTGCCCAAACCTGGATCTCGCATTTCCAGCCTCCAGGAATGGGAGGAAATACATTTCTGTTGTTTAAGCTACTCAGTGTGTGGTGTTTTGTTATAATAATCCTAGTAAACGAATGCAGTTGCTTATAAAAGTCAAAGATTCGGCCGGGCGCGGTGGCTCATGCCTGTAATCCCTGCACTTTGGGAGGCTGAGGTGGGTGGATCATTTGAGGTCAGGAGTTCAAGACCAGCCTGGCCATGATGGTGAAACCCCGTCTCTACTAAAAACACAAAAATATTGGCCGGGCGTGGTGGCAGGCACCTGTAATCCCAGCTGCTTGGGAGGCTGAGGGAGAAAATTGCTTGAACCGGCGAGGCAGAGGTTGCAGTGAGCCGACATTGCCCCACTGCACTCCAGCATGGGCTACAGAGTGAGACTGTTTAAAAAAAAAAAAAAAAAGTCAAAGATTCTAGCAGTTTTATTATTTTGTACATTTCTGTGTTTCTAATATGTTTCTTTCCTATACCTTGAAATGTGGTCTCTTATGATCCCTCAGGAACTAGTGAAATGATATTTTTGTTTGCCATGTCAGTGTTACATTAGAGATTTCGTGAAATATTTCATTCAGCTCATCCATTTCACAGCAGTGGAAGCGGAAGTGAGCAGGCCTGTGTGAGCCGCCCGTGCTGCCCGTTGGGAGGCGGTAGAGATTCAGCTGCTTTGGTGGGGAGCTCATCCAGCATCTTATGCCACTGTGTCCTTAACAATGTGATGCTGGCTGTTTATCATGCGCAGTGTCGATGGGTGGCAGAAGTTCGTGGTTAGCCTTCTCTCTGGGAACAAGTAGTTTTATAGGCAGTTGAAGAGAGGAACAGAGAGCCAGAAGTCCAAATCCTGAGGCCTGGACCCTGCTGTGACAAGACAAGCAAAGATCCTTTTGGAACCAGAGAGTAATCTGGATCCATTCCCAGCACCTCGTACAGAGCTCCAGGTAGGCTGGGATAGAGGGCAGCTATGAAACCCAGTGGGAAGGGCTTCATGAATGGCGGATTAAGTAGGAAAAGAAAGAAGGGGAATCAAATTTAAGTATCAATTCAGCTACAAGGAGGGATCGTAATTTGAAAAAATTGCTGAGAGAAGGGACAAAGCCAGATGGAATTCGGCACACAGAGCTCCGATCGCATGCTGAGTGCGGTTTGGTTGGTGACAGGCACTTATATTTTTGTAATTACTGTCGAATGTACAAAGCTCTTTCACCTACACTTCATTAAACAACCCCTGTGGCTTGGTGATTACCAAATTCACTTAGCAGACAGAAAACAGACCAACGCCCTCATGTTACAGGCCACGAACTGAGGATGGGAAAGACCCGTGTGCATGGCGGGCAGTTTCCAGAAAAGAAGACCAGACGAGGCACGAACATTGCTTTATAAGTGAATAGAGCTCCTTTAGGTTACTTATGCGTTCAGGAAAAACACAAATATTTGTATGTTTTCTACTTTGGGGCATTTCCCAACTGCCTCCAATTCATCCAAGCTTCGAGGTTGTACAGAATTTTGTGGTCATTTGTTTTAATTTCTTACATATATGGAGGGACTGTTAGTTTTGAGACAACTTCACAAAGACTATCCGTTCTCAAAATGTCCATCTAAACATTATTGTTCTAGGCCCTATTTATTTTATTTTCTTATTTTTTGAGACGGGGTCTCCCTCTGTTGCCCAGGCTGGAGTGCAGGGGTGCAATCTTGGCTCATTGCAACCTCTGCCTCTCAGTTTCAAGCAACTCTCTTGCCTCAGCCTCCCAGTAGCTGGGATTACAGGTGTCTGCCACCAGGCCTGGCTACTCTTTTGTATTTTTAGTAGAGACAGGTTTTTTCATGTTGGCTAGGCTGGTCTCGAACTCCTGGCCTGAAGTGATCTGCCCGCCTCAGCCTCCCAAAGTGCTGGGATTACAGGTGTGAGCCACCATGCCAGGCTTAATTTTTTTTTTTTAATTTTGTGAAAAATGCTATGGTTTTCCACTGGCTGCAAAGTGCCCTAAAAAGAGACAGCTTGCTGGATACCCGTTTCAGCATGGCTCTGAGGAGCCTGTGTCTGAGGTCCTCTTCCAGCATCCACTCCTCCCAAACTGTGTCTCTCTGCTTCATGGTTTGCCACTTGCCTTCTCTCCCAACTGTGCGGATCTGGAGCCTGCTCCCCTAAGCTCCCCTAGGTGGATGCAGGCTGTGGTCAGACCCTCACAGGCCAGCAGGTCCCAGGGTAGCACACTATCCATTGCAGAGCTCACGGGGATAGTGATTTAAAATTCTAGAATCCACATATTTTGATTTCTCTCTTCTGTGGCTGAACCATGCTGTCTGGCACTCCAGGGAAGGAGACAGTGAGCAATCCTGAGAATTTCTGTATCTCTGAATGACGCTGTTGTCGGTCAACTCATAGCTATTCTCGTCCACCGAGGCCTTTCCTGGAAGAGCTGGCTCCTTGCAACTAGCACAGGAGCCCTGTCCCAGGTCCTTGTAAGGGTCCCAGGTGGTCTGGGAAGTTGTCTCTTACTTCTCTACGGAAACAAACAAACAAACAAACAAACAAAAACTCCCTTTGAATGTAGCTGGGTGGGGACACCATGACTAAATCTATGCGGCTACCTTGCAACAAAGAGGGGTCTTTGAAGCAGGAAATATCTCTTAAAAGGATTCGGCCAGTGTCTGCATCTGAACTAAAAGCCATAGGTTCATCCACAGTTTCTGTTATAAGAAATAGCAAATGTTTTGATTATTTTATTAAACATTTTCAGTTAGGTATTCTTATTTGTAGACTGCAACAATTTATTTCCACCACTTTAATGAGTAAAGGTTCAAAAATCAGGCTGGATGCAGTGGCTCACGCCTGTTATCCCAGTACTTTGGGAAGCCGAGGCTGGTAGATCACCTGAGGTCAGGAGTTTGAGACCCACCTGGCCAACATGGTGAAACCCTGTCTCTACTAAAAATACAAAAAAATTAGCTGGGGGTGGTGGCAGGTGCCTGTAATCCCAGCTACTTGGGAGGCTGAGGCAGAAGAATTGCTTGAACCCAGGAGGTGGAAGTTGCAGTGAGCCGAGATTGTGCCACTGCACTGCAGCCTGGATGAAAAGAACACTCCATCTTGAAAAAAAAAAAAAAAAAAAAATCAAGCACTGGTACACACACAGCACGTGCGCACACACACACACACACACACACACACACACACACAGAGAGCGAGAGAGAATGAGAGAGAGAGAAAGGTATTCTAAGTTTCTTGGCTCTAATAGGATTTTAAGATAAAATCTGCTTATGCCTATCATAGTTTTACTATAACCCAGGATCGAAAATTAGGAAATGGAGTAAAGGGAGAGGAAAGCCCAGCCCTTGAGGTCCCACAAATGGGGGAGAAGTCAGAGGGGCTCTAGGCTTAGCCATCGGGAAAGAGCTGAGAGATAAGGAGGCAAATGCAATGCAGAGAAGGTTTAATTAACTCTGCTCTTCGCCTGGGGTCTGGGCGGAGACCCTCTCCCAGTGTTTCTGGGGAAAACCTGGTGGCCATGCCCACGTGCCTCCAATAAGGGAAATTAATTTTATCCAATTTTCACTTTTCTTATTGCTCGATTTTTCTACCAGTGATTCAGCCTGTCTTGTTTTTAAAGCGTGAGTGAAGATGCAAAGACTGAAAGGAGATTTCCACAAAGATATCCTACCCAAAATAGTTGATGAGGTCCCCCAGGAAACAAAACCTGCTCAGGACAGAGGTGTGGCATGGGAACAGGTGCCAGTGAAGAGGGAATGGCACAGCTGTCTGCCTCCTTGTTCCTGATGGAGCCGGGGAGCAAAGCATGTTTTCTTTTATCCTTAGAGCTCTGATAGAATTCTCACTGAAACATAGTTCAACATGTCCCCGCAACAATTTTTTTTTTTTTTTTTTTGGCTTACACTTTTAATGTCATTTCAGTTTCAGCAGTAGGTCTTTTTCCTGTTCAATGAGATCCTCCCCTTCCATGTCTCCGCTATGCTGGAAATCCTGTTAGGTGACAGTTCAATTGTCTAATTGTCACTCCTTGACTTTGATTTTTCATTTAAAAAATATAGATCACTGATTTTGCTCTTGAGTGTGAGGCCTAGCAAGGCTCAGCAAGGCTGTTTTCATTCTGCAGCCCTCAGATCGCTGTTGCATAAGACGGTGGCGGGGGTCGGGCTTATCTCAATGTCACCCTAGCCCCCTAGTCTCATCCCGGCTTAGGAAGGCTCAGGGCTGCTTAGGTAGAGGGACCTCCTTAGTCTCTTTCTCACTCTCCAGGGACCCCAGGTAACCTCTCCATTTGAGGAAGTCAGACTGGGGACGCTTCTTGCATGGCTAAAGGAGAGAGAGGGTGACAAGGGAAGCCAGCAGGGATGTGGCCTCCTCAAACACAGCACCATTTCTTCTACCTGGGGAGCAGTTACGAGGCCCCCCCAACCTTTAGGGCTGAGGGAGGAGATGGAGACCACCTCATAATGGGTGGGATGTTAGAGAATCTGCAGACAGGATTTTAAGCCACAGAGTCAGACATCTGGCCACAAATCATGTACGTTCCTCCAACATGAAAACGGTATCCACCCCTGCCAAATTCCCCAAAAGCCTCATTATTGCCTGAATCAGTTTGCAATACAGGTGAGGTTTCTGGCTTGAGGTTCTTCAGATCTAGTTTCTCTCCGTCTGGAGAGAAACAAAAACCACAGAAGAGGCAGTGTCTCTGTCCCTCACTCACTTGACTTACAACTGCAGGGCAGATATAAGACAGCCACAATAAACTCTCAAGCTGAAGAAGGGAGAAATGGGGGAGTGGGCACAGCAGTTCCTGGTCCATATCACGTGGAGATGCATCAGACACTCACGGTCCACAGACTACGGCCCGGGCAAGGTCTCCATGGCTTCTGGCTTCACCCTCTGGGCTCTGAGTAACCCTTCTTTTTCCATAAGGAGTGACCCATTTCTGGAGCTGAATAGTGTCCTCAGCCCTATCTCTGCTTTGGAACAAATTACACATTAGTGGCTTAGAACAGCACCTATTTATTATCTCACAGTCTCCTTGGGTCCTGAGTCCAGGCCCAGGCTGACAGGTTCTCTGCACAGGGACTCATGGGGCCAGGGCCAGGTTCTCCTGGGGAATCAGGGTCCTCTTCCAAGTGCAATGTTGCTGGCAGAATTCATCTCCGTGTGGGTGTGGGACTGTTTCAAGTGCCTATTCTTCCATTAGCTCTCAGCTCCTTGAGGACGCCCACGGTTCCTTGTCAAGCGGCCCTGGAGGGAAGTTTGCAGCACAGATGTGGGTGTTCTGCCAGGCTCACCAGAGCGCATCCCTCCAACTTCCTCTTCTGCCATCAGCTGGAGAGAACCTCCTGCTTTTAAGAGACTCGTGTGATCAAATCAGGCTCACCTGATCATCTACCCATCTCAAGTTCAGATGATTCAGGACCTTAATTACATTCACGTAATCCCTTTACAGCGGTCCCTAGATTAGCATTGGATGAATAACTGGAGGTTTGTGTGTTTCCCCCAGAGATTTGGCATCCGTCTTCAAATTCTGCCCACCACACCACTCCTGGCAGTTTAGGGGTCCATAGTTATCATTTTATTGTGTCTATCTTTGTTCCTTTTCGCCCAAGTGGGTCATGTTTCCATAGAATAATTCTCTTGAGAACTTTGGGGAGCTCCTGTGAGATGAGGGTGCCTTCCACTATGCAAAGGCTGCAACCACACATCTCTGAGATAAGCCCATCTCTACTTGAGCCTCCCAGTAAGATTGTGATCTTAAGCTTCTGAGAAGCCCTATTTCTAACAGAATCTGAGAGGTCCGGACTTTCAAGCCTCAGAAGTTCTTCTCTCCCTCTGAAAGCATCTATGAGCCCCACCTTAGATCCTCCTGAGGTCTTAACAGGTCATCTCTGACACTGGATTTTAGGTTCTTTCTTCATGTTAGCATTGTTTGCCATCTGGACATGCTAAGAATCACTGCGCTTTATTTTCTCTATTTTTATTTTGGGATGGAGTCTCACTCTGTCACCCAGGCTGGGTGCAGTGGTGTGATCTCGGCTCACTATAATCTCTGCCTCCTGGATTCAAGCGATTCTCCAACCTCCTAAGTAGCCGGGACTACAGACCTGCGCCACCACACCTGGCTAATTTTTGTATTTTTAGTAGAGACGGGGTTTCACCATGTTGACCAGGCTGGTCCTGAACGCCTGACCTCAAGTGAGCTGCCTGCCTTGGCCTCCCAAAGTGTTGGGATTGTAGCTTTGAGCCACCGCGCCTGGCCCTGAGCTTTATTTTCAAACTTCTGAGACCTGGCAGCTTATTTGTCTTTCCTATAGATTTTGCATGAAAATTAAGTGGCCCCCCCTTTTTTTTTTCAACTCCTCTCTTTATCCTTATTTAGTCATACATAGCCAAAATACACCAATTGTCACTTTTGACAAGTCTCCCAGATTTTCCCCAGATTATTTATTACATTTACTCTTTTCTGTGTCACTGTGTGGGGCCATATTGCTTGAGTTTCTGCCACTACCTAACAGGGTGCCCTTTCCTTTCCTTCACCTTCCAACATTTCCCTCACTTTCCTCCCAGCCCTTATCCCCCTGTCACTGTCAGGGTTCTTCCAACCTTGACCTGCCACCTGCTCACAGAGCCACCATCTCACTCACAAGACTTGGGCCTTGTGAATTAGCACTCCTCTCCCAGGTGTGCAAGTCTGCTCTGGCTGTCTTCAGCTCTGTGACAAGCAACCCATATTCAGGGGCTTCAAACAATGATCATTGTGTATCTTGCTTAGAATCTGCAGATCAGTGGGGCTCAGCCAGGTGGTTCTCACTTGGGGTCTCTCGTGCTTTTGTAGTGAGATGGCGGCTAGGGCTATCTTTCAGGCTTCTTCACTCCCATGTCTGGTGTCTGGACTGGGGCACATCACGCATCTAGAAGCTGGAACTCTGGGCTTCCTTGAGCTTGAGCTTTCTCCTGGTCTGTCCCTCTTTCTGTGTCTCCTGCCCTCTCTCCCCAGCTCTATCTTTGTCTCTCTCCATGTGATCTTTACACATCACAGCCTCTGTGTAGCTGGACTTACATTGTGGCTACAGGCTCCAAGATCATGTCCCAAGAGGAGCTACTCCTTATCTCTTAAAGTTTTTTACATGGTTTTAATCTCTGTCACATTCATCACACATGACACTTTATTTAGCTTTATTATTTAATTACTCGTTTTATTACTCATTTCACATAATTTATATTTCTTAACCAATTTATAAGGAGTTGATGTGGCTATTTTGGTCATTTGTTGAAGGTTTTTGCTTGTTTATTTTTGTCCTTTTCAATTTCACTAATTATATTTATATTTATAATTACTGATACTTTTTATTAAAGATTATAGAATAAATATACCCTCTTGAATCTGTCTATTGAAGTATTTTAGGCTTCTATGAATACATTTATTAATCTATTATTTACTTAAATATTTCACAAAGTTTTACTGGTTGAGTTGATTTTCTTTATTTAACGCTTTTAGGTTGATTCTTGATTTTTTTTCTTTTTATTTGGATATAGGAAATTAGTTTGAGGAGGCCATGTGAGTGAAATTCTACAGCATAAGAGAAATCACTGATCATCTGTGAGTGAGCACACTTTCTGCTGCTTCTGGGATGGAAGGGGAGGGTATGATTTTGGGGGTGGTGGGGTGGAGCACAACATCAAGCATTGTTTTCTGATTTCTTGGGTAACATGGCTTCTGGCTGTTAAAAGCTCCAGTTTCCTCTTTTATGCTGTATCTGGTATCAAAAATATACTACTTCATACCTACGACTTAATGTTCTCTAAATGTGGTGGGTAGTGTAGTGGGAATGGGGGACAGGACCATCTCCAAGCAAAACACCTGTTTCTCCATCCCACACTCCATCATATCCTCAACTCCTGTTTCCATGACCTACTAATGGTTAATACACTTACACTGTGTAGCTGAATAAGGTTATCTTCTCTATCAGTTCGTTTTCACACTGCTGATAAAGGTATACCTGAGACTTGTTAACGTATGAAGAAAATAGATTTAATGGACTCACAGTTCCACGTGGCTGGGCGGCCTCACAATCATGGCAGAAGGTGAAAGGCATGTCTTACATGGCGGCAGGCAGGGGAGAATGAGAGAACCAAGTGAAAGGGGAAACCTCTCATAAAATCATCAGATCTTATGAGAGATGAGAACCATGAGAACAGTATGGGGGAAACCACCCCCAGAATTCAATTATCTCCCACTGGGTGGCCCCCATAACGTGGGAATTATGGGAGCTACAATTCAAGATGAGATTTGGGTGGGGACACAGTCAAACCATATTATCTTCCTTCATTAAGATTACTCCTCCAAAAACATACACGAGTAATGTGAACATTTGATTAATATCCTTCACCTTTATGGAATTCATTTAACTGTGGATAGGGATATTTGTTTTTCTTTCCTTTCTGTATCCCTGACATCATCCAATGGTGTGCACTCAACAGTCCTACACTGAATAAATGAATGAATGTAAGAGTAAATGGATAATATCTAAAGAAGTTTTTTTTTTAACTTGGTTCACTACAACTTTTAATAAAGATTTATCAAACCCATAAAATGAAATGATAATTACTTGCCTTTTACTAGAGTTTTTCATTTTAATTCACAGAAAATTACATACATAACATAGCACAGTTTTCCTGTTACATTCTCCTTCCCTTCTCAGCAGAATGTTGGTGAGAAGCCTTAAGTAAGAAGAGGTCTGTGTTCTAAAGCAGATGGGGTTCTTTTGAGCCTGTGCCTGTTGGGTTCTGACGTGGTCCTGGGTGTCTATGCTTTTTTTAAGCCTGTGTCCTTTTGCAAAGTGTAAATTACTCTTTCAGTTTATTGTGAATTATAAATTCAATTTCTAAATACGATTTGTCTCTTATTCTGTATAAGGAAGTTATTTTTTATGTAATACACTGCAAAATATCAGTTAGTCCTGAAGATCATTTTCCTATCTGTTCTTGTTTGGTCTGCCAACTCTTATTAAGGGAGAGTAGTATCTTGACGGTGTCCCAAATCAAATTTTCCTACATTGAATGGTCAATACCATTTACATTTCCTCTTCCACATCCTGCAAGGCACACCCACTTACATTATCTCAAGAGTATCACTCTTTTGTCATTTGATCAATTTTATGTGGGCCACACCAGACATGAGTAAGCACTGTTGGAAGATACCAGGAGTGTGAATACAGTCAGGCATTGCTTGACAATGGGGATACATTCTGAGAAATTAAAATTGCATTATTAGGCAATTTTGTCTTTGTGTGAACATCATAGACTGTACTTAGCCAAACCCAGATGGTAGCGCCTACCACACAGCTAGGCTACATGTATAGCCTGTTTCTCCTAGGCTGCAAACCTGTGCAACACATCACTGAACTTGATACGGTAGACGAATATACACAACGGTTCCATACTTTTGTATCTAAAGATATCTAAACATCAAAAAGATAAAGTAAAAATACAGTATAAAATATATTTTAAAAGGGCACATACACAGCCTGTCATTGATGGAAACACCATTGTGTGGTGCATGACTGTATGCTTTAGATTTGGCCCTCATGGAATAGACCACTGTAAGGTCAATGCTAGAGAGGGCTCCTTTGCAGGAGAGAGAAATATGGTGGCGTAGAGGAACATGGGATTCTGTGGATGACCTGTTTCATCTGGACTTTGGAAGATGGGAAAAGCTTGGTCATACAAAGATTGGTACTAAACATTTCATGAGAGGAAGCAGATTATGAAATAATTACACAGAGGTCAGTAGTTCAACCATTCCACCTAGAAACTAAGGTGGAAATTATACAGAAGTTAGTCTTTTCTATACTGGGCCCAAGAAAGTGAGCAAGGACAATATATTTTTTGTTTGTTTTTTTAGCATCTTTATAAGTTTTTTCCATCTGGTTTGTCTCAATTATCTTTGCAAAATTTCTTGATCTGTAGATATAATTGTCATAATATTGTAATAATAATATTATACTTCTATTATATTATTATCTGTAGTTACATTATTTGATTTATCCCCATTGTATTCCATGCTTGTTTGGTTCCAATACTCATAATAGCTTATAACAGAAGTGTCAATTTAATCTTTCAAACATTTAGAGAGTATCCAATACCTAGGAAATTACCCCGTTTTACAGATGAATCAATCTAAGCTATACGTATATGATTAAAAATGACTAGCTTGAGTTGTCTTTTGCTCTAATTGCTCCTTACTTCACTCGAAGTTCTCATTGCTCAGCTGCAGAGTATTGTGTAAGCACAGCAGGGAACTTTTATTTTGACTCTTTGTATTAACGTAAAAATTATGCTTAATAATACAAGGAAGAATGATTCCAGGGTGTTTAGCCATGTGTTGCAATGGTCATTATTTCCTTCCAGTATACTTATCTCTGAACCGATCATTTTATTGGCTCTTTGGGTATAAATGTTTTTAGGAAGTGCTTTCTGAAACAATACCTCTCTGTCTCATTATCAAAAAATTCCCTGCATTTCATGCCTACATTCAATTTTGGCTGCACATGGAAAAAAATAAATAAGTAAATAAAAGTAGCTTTTGTTAATAGGCCTACAAACTAAAACCTAAAATTTTGGAATTAAAAATAATAATAATTTGATAACATTTTAAAAGGAATGTTGGAGAATATATAGTTCCAACTCTCACTTTAGTGGAGTCTGTAAGAAACAAATAATTATGATTTCCAGAAAGAATAACAATGTCTTTTTCTGTATAGCCAACAATGTGCTTCAACGCTTTAACTTGTGTGTTCATCCTGAAGTGGGTGCTCTCGTCCTCATTTTAGAAAGGAGGAAAGGGAGTCTTGGGGAGGGTAGGGGACTTGTACCAAGTATTGGAGCAAGGAAAAAACTGAAGTGGCTCAATCACAGTGAGCCGTCTTCACAAATCCAGTGTTGTTCCCACTGCCCATCAACTGAGAAGCTGTTTTTCCACTTAAAAACAAAATAAACATAGAAACAAAGAAAGAAAAATCCTCTCTTCTACTGTGGATTCAGATGACAGTCATATTTTGTTTAAGAATATTGAGCAATCATAAATGACTTTTCTCCCCTCCACACTGGAGATAAACCACAACTTATTATAACAAAACTGGTCACTGTTCTAGCCAAAGTATTTCATCAGCTTCTGGCATGCGTTATATCTTGATACGCTTATCCAGCATGATGGCTGGCGTGGTCCTCTGCCTATTTAGTATGAAGGCTAAATTCAGCAGAGGAGTTAATGACAGGAGATTTTTCTTCGGCTCCAGGGATCGGCATGCACAGACAGGACCCTGTGTGAATTCCCCAGCATGTAATGATAAGATACTTCCAGTCTGCCAGCATCAAGCAACTTCATTAATTAAAAACACATTGTGTGTTATCACAGAAGATTGATTTTTCTAGGAAGAATTACCCTTTGGCATTTATGATGAGCATGAAGAAGAACAGATAATACAATTACTGACAGGACTTTCCTCATTTTAGGACAGCAAATATTTAAGATTAGGATTAAGATTTCAGGAGAGACAGCCTTTGTGATTATTCTGCAAAGGAAATATTTGGAACTGCTGTTTTTGTTTTGTTTAGGCGGACCCTGGGAAGTAAACATTTGCTCAACCATACTGAGTATCTGTGATTTAATGGGATATGGGCCCTAAACATATTTTAGGACTTCACCCCTTTGTGCTTAAAACAAAACAGTGCAAAATAAACAATAAAGGGACTAATAAAAAGTTTATAGAGCTGCCAAGTGCTGAAAAAAGTCTGGTGAAGTCAAGTTATCTGTTTGAAGGAGATTACTGATATTTTCAGCAAGAAGGGCAGTGTTGTGAGTGTCTGGCCCTCATGGTACCATAGAATGATCATGCAGGAGAATCCGGGTTCCAAAGCCACACAAGGAACCATTTATATTTTTGTCCAGCACGATGTAGATATTCCCAATATCCTATCAAGTGGTTGCATAGTCCCTGCTTAAATTCCACTGGAGACCTCATTATTTTACAAAATCTGTGTTTAAGCTAGAAGAGCTCAAATTGATAGGAAATCCTCCTTGAGTTGAAGTGATACTTTTTTACTTCTTGCTGTGACACATTAAAACTTTTCTATTTGAAATTCTACCATGTCGGACGTAAGTTTCTCTTTCTTACAATAAATGTCCCCCATGAAGTCTGCTACTTACCATGTAAAATACCCAGGATCTCCTGGGTCCTGGACCCCTGCAACATCCAGATCACCTCTAAACACATGGCAGTTTGCAGTGACTCAAAGTCAAGCACAGTAATCCAATGACAAGTGCAATGACAATAGGCTTCTACTATTCATTTACATTAAAGCTGCCTAAATTGAGTTTAGATGTTTTGGCAGAGCTTTCATGGGTATTCCATTTTTGAGTTGATGATGTAGCTTATGATGGTTTTTAAATAAGTTCCCTTCTGCTTGGGTCTAGTTGAAGTGAGAGAACCAAAGGTAGATGTTTTTACCCCATGAAACACTGCCTCACTAGTTTCAGCCCTTTCTTTCATCCACTTAACATCTCTAAAAATCTGACTTTACAATCCTTCATTGACACGC